TGGCAAGGCCAGGTGCTGACAGGCCCTCCTCTCTCCCTGACCAGCCTCAGTTTACAGCCAATGGGAGGTGGATGAGGACTGGTGTCTGTCTGTCCTCCGCTCCTACCAGGCGGAACACGGGCCTGACTTCCCCTGGAGTGTGGGTAAGGAGGTGCTGGGACAGGAGAGGGAACAGGAGGAGCCCGGGAAGGGGATGAAAACCCAGACGCACAGCCTGTATTTGAGCACCTCCTCTCCGCAGGGGAGGACATGAGTGCAGATGGACGGCGGCAGCTGGCTTTGTTTCTGGTGAGCTAAGGAGCGGGAAGCAGCGAAGGGTGTCTGAATGGCCAGGGCTCACTAGGGGGATTGGGGACAGTGGAGGTGGTAGCTTTTGTAAAGTAAGTGGTGGGTTCCGAGAGGGGTGGGGAGGGTGTCTGGAGGCTGCTGCTCCCTACAGTGCCCTGCACCTACCTGTCCTGCCCCCTTTCCTCAGGCTCGGAAGCATCTGCACAACTTTGAGGCCACACACTGCACCCCACTCCTGGCCCAGAACTTCCAGATGCCGTGGCACCTCTAGGGACCATACTGAGACTCATTCTGGAAGAATGGGATGAGAGGAGACATGAGAAACACCCTCTTATTGTGATTCTCTGTGTTCATGTTGCTGTTTATAGTTTGCGGAAAGTGGGGGACCCGTGCCCCTTCTCACCACTGTTCCTCTTGCACGTCCCCCTCATCTATGTGGCAGTACTTACCCTTCTCCGACACATACCCTACATTAAATGAATGGATTATTCCTAATAATTAATAAAAAGATATTTTTTCTACTATCTGGCTAATTGTGTGACTTCCCAAGTGTCCAGGAAGCCAGGGGCTGGTACTGAGGAGGGCAGAGGCCCCAAAGGGCTGGACTTTGGGAAACCCCAACTCCAGATAGCTGGTTTAACCCTTCCTGTCTCTGTGTCCCCCCCAGGCCTTCAGCCCCCAACCTGAACTGTCCTCATGCAATGGGTCCCCAACCCTCAACACTTCCCTGGCATGCCTAATATCATCATCATCACTACTGTGCAGCCTCCCCTGCCCTCCTTCCTCAGTCCTTCCCGCATACAACTGCCCCGAAACCATGCTTGCCCCCTCTTGAGATTTGTTGTTTACAAAGTACTTTTAGTATCTGATTTCCAGGTCTAAGCTGCATGGTGTCACTATCAGCAGCCCCAGTTTCCTTCGCTCAGTTCCTGTTGTCCCCGGGAGTGAGCAATGGCCTGCTCCCCATGTCCCATGGAGTAAACCCTGCACACCCTCCTCACCATGCCGTCAAGTCTCTCCTCACAGCCTTTCTGTAATTCAGCAAACGCAGGGCCTGCCAGGGACTAAGGGTCCGGTGCCAAGGACTCGTGTCCTCCCAGAGCCATACATCGCCTTTTGGACAGCTCTGTTAGAAGAAAATGCTTAGGTTGAACCCGAGGAAATTGGTTCCCCATAACCTGGACCTTATAGAACAGAATAAGTCCCCCTTCCTCCCATCAGTGTGTTGCCTGGCCACCTTCTTCCTTTGGAAACCTCTTTTCCAGATGAAAGTTCCCAGTATACCACCCTGGGCCCATTGTTTTAAACAAGATGCTTAACTTGGTTGACAATGTTCTGATGTCCTAGGTACAGTCTCTGGCTAATTTCTGTGCTTCCTCCAACCTCAATGCTTGAAGCTCCCTTATAATCCCAAGGACAGAGGCTGTCTGCCCCCATCAGCTCCTTAAGGGAAGCCATACTGAGTCTCCACTGGAAGGGGAGACCTGAGACTTACCAGGTGATGTGATGTCTGAAATTTGGGGTTAGAAGAGGGGAGGTGACCACAGCTCCAGAATGCTCCATATTTAGCCAACAGCAGGTGGAGAGCTGATACCAGTGTCTCTCTCCTCTGTCTCATTCCAGGGGCCAAACAGGGTGGGAAGTGTGGGACCTGAAGCTCTGGGACCACCCACATAGTTCTCAATCTCAACCTCCCAGATCCAACAGGACAGTTAATGCCCTGGAAACCAAGTTTTTGTTCAAGTAAAGGAACCTCCTTAAATGCAAATAGGGGGCACCCAGGGCCACCTCTTACACCCTGGAGACAAAGGACTCCATTTTCTTGCCTGTTCCGTAGAGACCAGTAGATGCCATGAGGGGCCCTTAAATACCGAAAGTGGGTAGGGAGAGGGAGGTTCAAAATGTGAGATCCGCACCATCGCACCCAGGGGCCTCAGTCTACTTCAGATCACACCACACCTGATAAGGCTCAGAGCAGCTGTGTTTGTTTTCAGAACTAACCCCACGCTGGGGTGGCACCACTTCTCACCCTATATATTAATAGCAAAGTTCCAGCAGTCCCAGGGCGTGATTAGCTGAGATGCAGACCCTACAGCTGCTGGGGCTCTGGACCCTGCTATACTGGGCACCACGTGAGGCCTGAACGCCCAGGCACCCGGAGGAGCTGGGCAAACTGGGAGAGAAGATGGAGGCTAGGAGAAAGGGAAGTTAGACCCTGGCTGGGAAACCTGGGAAGAAGAGGTGGTCCCAGGCTGGCCCAGGCCTTATCCTACCCTACCTCATTGACCCAGGCTCCGCCCTGCGCTGCTCCCAGGGTGAGGTGCTCCGCTAGGCTCTGGGCTGCTCTGGGCTGCTCGTTTGGGTTGAAGGTTTGCTGCACGCCCCTGGGAGGGGCATGTGTTTCCCGCACAGCTGTCACAAGTGGGAGTGGGCACCAGAGCGTGGGGCAGCGGAGCGTGGAGGGCCCAGGAGGGTGGGGGGCCCAGGTGTCAGGGATAGCCAGATCCCTCATCCACCCATCCAATCAACAAACCACCCTGGCTCCCTCACGAACCTAGTCATTCACTTATATTCAGGTTAAGACCCTCGTCTGGTTCCTCTCCAGCAGTCTCTGGCGGCTGACACCGCAGAACTCGGCCCTCGCCTGGCCATCATTTGTAGGCCGCCCCTCGCCTGCCTCGCCCGATTCCCCTAACTTGGTGTTCGGTCCTCAGGCCCCACCTCCTTTGTTTCGTCACTCGGGGGCTTACTGCCTGGTAGCCATTGTCCCGAGGGAGGGGCACTGAGCAGAGATACCGCCATCCACTGCCGTCACCATGGCAACTGTTGCAACGCCCCGCCTCTTCACCCCAGGAAAGCCGGCGCTGAACCCGTCACCATGGAAACAAACTCTCGAGCGTCTTCCCGCGCACTAGCCGCGAAACGAAGCAAGGGCGGGATTAATGACTTTGAGACCACACCCCCTCCCAAGAAGGTCCCGCCCCACCCGGTGTCTTCCCTCCTGGCTGCGCTCGGGGCCCAGCAAATGCTCCCGGGCCTCCCAGGGTGACCCGCTCCGGGAGCTCCTTCTCGCCTAGCTCCAGCCCCCGGCCTTTCAGTTGCGGTTATATCCGAGCGAGGGGTTCAGAGGGCGCTGTAAGGTCCCCTCTGCTTTTCCTTTGCCCTCTATCGCTGTGCAGTCACTCATTCAGCAGACATTTATGCAGGTGCCAGGCGCTCCTCCCCAGGTCTCCGTTACTCTGGCTTTTCTCTAAAGCAATGTGAAAGTTTCATTCATTCCCAGGCTCTTGGGGGGCGCACCGTGGCGTGCGTTTTCCTCTCGTGTTTCTTCCTTCCCGATGTCTTCCTTGGCGGGCGTCTCCCGTCCGTTTCTTCTCGTCTTCCTCCTCCTCAAACTACCCAAGACCCCACGATTCTTGGACAGTTTGGGCGGTAGCAGGGAGCCCGACTTCAGAGCCGCGCCCCGAACCTCCAGACGGGAAATTGGAACAGGTGGTGTCCGTTCCTGGACGCCGAGGACCTCCCATAGCCCAACGTCCCTAAAAGTAAAAACTCGGAGTCTCTCGAATTCTGCCACTGACCTGGCGAGGTGGGGACGAAGCAGGCGAGGCGGGGAAGCCCAGCAGGGACCGGCCGGGCGCCTGCGGCCCAGGGCTCCGAATCCGCCCGGAGCGATGGCGGCACTACAGCGCCACCTGCCGGGTGTCCGCCGGGGCCCGACGCCGAGGTCCGGTCGCGCCGCTCGCGCTTCCCGGGTTTCCTGCGGAGAACAGCGAGGCAAGGGCCACCCCCGCGTCCTCCCGGAGCTCTGAGGAGCAGTCAGGCGCGGAGAGCGAACGCGCAGCGCCAGGTCCCGTGGGCGCCGGAGGTCAGACCACTGGCTCACAGCTGGGCGTAGGCGGGGCAGGAGAAAACGGGATGGGGTGGGCGAAGGCGCTGGGTTTCCGGAACCCCAACGGGCACCCGCTGAGTACGGGTCGCTGGGATTCAGGTGTCCTCGCTTTTGGATGTCTGACAGTACCACATCTTTCCCATCCTGGAAAATGGTCCCACCAGTCATGCTTTTGTGCAAGCCTGACCCCCTCCCTCACTCTGCGTTCAGCTTAACACCAAACCTGTCTAGTCTCTCTTCTAATATATGTCAGACCGTCGTCACGCCGCAGCGTCCTGGCCTCTCTTCTGCTAGGTCAGGCCGCCATCTTGTGACCGGACTCAGGAACAGCTTCCTATTTCCCGGCCTCCACTCCTAACCCTTTTATTCTCCAGGGTGCAGCACAGTAATCTTTTACAAAAAGAAATCTGATCATGTTATTCCTGTGCTGAAATCCCTTTGGCCAGTGGTTTCCACTGTCCAGGTGCTCCTGCCAGTACTCTGCCCTCCCCCGGTCATGGCCTGTTGACTTGCCTCCCCCGCTAGACTGTACCCTGTGCAGGGACCGTGTGCACTGTTGTATTCCCAACACCTGCTGCAGGGATTGAATAAACGTCTGTCGAATGACCATGAAAGAAATTTCCCCCTCTCGTTCTCCTTTGCTGGGCCCCTGCCCCCAAGCCAGGATGTTATACCCCAGAGCGGTTGTGGGTGAGGACACTCTGTCCCTCTGGCTGCTCTGGCACTGATTTTCACCCTGAACTGGTGTTGCCTTTCCCCTTCCTCTTGGCTAATCTCCCTTCCACTAATATAAGCCCAAACTAGAGGCCAGTGGGCAGTCATGTGTTGCATGGCAGGCCCTGCAGGGAACTGCAGTCTGGAGCCCCTGAGTCCCCGCAGAACCCTCCAAGGCCTGTACGTGGTCCTCTTAATAGTGCTGGTCATGAGGAGCTTGGTGTTTGGTAAGTGGCTCCAAGGGATTAGAAGGGTCTCCTGGCCTGCTGGATGGAGAAACCCACAGACACCAAGCATTTGGGTACATATACCCAAGACGCTCAGGTAAACCCAGGCAGGAGGAGAGATGAGATGGGTAGGTTTAGTGGGAAAATGTCTGGGGACTGCTAATGGACTGATGTTCACCCTGAGGGAGATTTCTAGCGGCCACCCCAGGCCTATCTCACTCCACAGCAGTGACCGCAATGGGGATACTGAAGGGATCGTTTCCAAATCTCAGGGCAACAAAATAGGGAGGGTTGGGGAGCATGCCAGATGACAGAACCAGAATCCACAGGGTAGAACAAGACTGAATCCAGCTTGGTATGCTCCTCACTTGGCTGCAAAGCACCATCTACAGAGAAATAGGACTCAAAGTGTTTGTTGAGAATTTGCCTCTGCCTTGCACCAAGTGCTCTGCTGGGTCTGAGGATTCATTAATACGTGGTCTGGGCCCAGGGCCAGAGGAAGAGGGAGATGTATGTGCATGCAGTTGGAGAGGGAAGAGGAGAATGGGGGCTTTGGTGGACAAAGTTTAATATGAGTCTGTCCAGTCACAGGACACCAAAATCAAAGAATGCAGCCCCTGGCTGCTTGAAATCTCCTGTCTACATGAAGCAGAGACTCTTCCTGTCCTGTGATGCACTCTTGTTTTTACTTTTGAATATTATAGATTAAGAAAGCATGTTCAAAAGAGAGTCCAGGAGGGTGGGGAATTGCCCTAACAGGGCCGCCCAGGGCTGGAATGGGCTGCCTCAGCCTAACCTTTGAATTTAGAGGCTTGCAGAGTGCTGGGCACAAGTTAGCCCCTCGAACACTTGTTGAATGAATGAATGAGTGAATTAGTTAATTAATGAGTTCCTCATCTCTGCTGACATAAGAGCAGAGAAAGGAGATTTTAATGAGGACTAAAGCTTCTGATGACCTGGCTTTGAAGAATTGGTGACTTTATGGCTTTCTGAGTTGGGGAGGTGTGGAGGGAACAGTGGCGTTGACCAGCCTGGAATCAGGTGGGGGTGGGGTCAGTGCTTCTCTGTATTCTAGGTAAGCTTGTTCCTGTCAATCAGAAACCCCCTCAACCACATCAATTCCCCAAATACCTGCGCTGCTATCGATGCCTCCTAGAGACCGAAGAGTTGGGGTGCCTTCTGGGATCTGACATCTGCCTCACGCCGGCTGGCAGCAGCTGCATCACTCTCCACATAAAGAACAGTAAGCTGCCTTCTCCCGCCATGCGCCCAGCCCTCTCCCAAACTGAACCTCTCCCAGCCTCCTAAGCTGCACCCCAAGTCTTGTTCCCACAACCCTAAGACACTATTCCATCCCTGTCTCTCTTTCCTTTCCTTCAGAGCCTGTCTCACTTCTACCCCCTTCCCTCCTGAGCTCGTAGCTGACTGGCTTTCACCCTCTCACAGTGAGGGGACTCTTGACATCTGCAGACACCCTGGCCTGTCCTCAAGCTGCCTGCGCCCCCATCTGTCAGCACAGTTCCCGCCGGTGTCGCTGTCCTGCATCTTCCGCTGCGTCTTCAGCTTCCTTCACTGACTCTCGCTTTATTCTCCCTGATCCTTAGTGGCTCACGGTCACCAAGGTTTGGTCCTGAGCTGTCTTCCCACATCAGACGCTCTCCCCAGAGGATTTGATCTGCTTCCTTGGCTTCAGCCAGCAGCCACATACTGCTTCCTCCTGAATCTGAATGTTACACCAACCGCTCTCCTCATGTCAAATCGCCCACTGGACATCTCTGTCTCATTTTCAACTTGCCAAAAATTGACTTCATTTCCTCCTTCCTCATAGCTGCTCTTCCACCCGATCCTGCCTTTTTAAAGTTAACAAAAGCATAACACAATACGTGCCAGGCATTGTTCTCAACACTTGCAGTCCTCTGAGGCAAGCGTTATTATTACCTTCATTTGCCAGATGAGGAGACAGAGGTGCAGAAAGGTCTTGCCAGAGGTTCACGGAAGCGGAGCTAGACTTGGGGGTGGCTCCGGAGATGGTGCTCTCAGCAACTACTGCACGAAGCTGCCTTCATTCAGATCCTTTTGTTAGACTTTTTAAATAGCTGGTGTGTAGGCATGGTTCAAATATCAAAGTATACAATACAAAGGTGTCAAAGCAAAGTCTCCCTTCCACTCCCGCCACAATTCCCCTGGCTCCCGTGCGCATATAACCAACCACTCTTTTTCCTTTCTGGATTATACTTCCTGCAATCGTTTTTGCACACTCCACCCTACGCAAATATACTTACTATTTACTCTTTTTTCACCTCTTCCCCCACCCCCCAAACAGCATACCACAGTGAGCACTGTTCTGCTTGCTTTTGAAACTTAGCAGTTAGGGGAACTAATGTCTCCATGTCCCTTTGTAGGGAGCGTCCTTGTCCTGTTGGCCTGCTGGGTGGTACTCCACGGGAAGGGCATGTCAGAGCTGACTCCTTCATCTCACTATTACCGGGCATTTAGGTTACTTCTAATTTTTTACTCTCTCAAGCAGGGCAGCCGTGAACATCCCTTTGCGTAACTTCTTGGGACATGGGAACAAAGATTTTTTCCTTCTCTAATATATATAATAGCAGCAGATACATTATTCTTTTACTTTTGGTCTAGAAAATAAATGACAAACATCTCCTTTTTGCATCCAATCTTCAAAATATTTCCTCAGTTTTTTCTTGCACGGTCCCACAGTGCTGGTTCTCCCCATTTGGCTCTGTAAGTCCTAACTCCCCCTCCAACCGTGGACATTTCAAATGGTTCTGTCCCTCCAGCCTTCCCCTTGGAACTTCGGCAGAGTTCCGTGGCTGGTGACACACTGGGCACTCCACTCCCCACCCCTGCCCAATTCTAGGAATCTTCTTTTTCTTTTTATTGGTCCAGGGCAGGCTGCGGGGAGTGAGGGAAGGAGAGGGTTTGGGGCTCTGCCCTGGGACCTCCATGTCACTGATGCCTGTGGTCCCCCGCAGGCAGTGGTTCTGATGTCATGGTGAGCGACTGCCGCAGCAAGGAGCAGATGAGTGATTGTTCATACACCCGCACGTCCCCAGTGTTTGGCTTCTGGATATTCTCTCAATGCTGCTTCCTGGATTTCTGCAATGACCCTCAAAACAGAGCACTCTATACTCCTTAGAACAACTTCAGAGACATTGGGGTAAAATTCCATGTTTCTGGCACTCTCCTGAATTCTACCTGAGCTCAGCCAGGACAACTTCCAGGCCCTCACACCAGCCCTCTCTGCTTCCCTCGTCACTGGACCCCAGTCTTACCTCTCTTCCTCTTAGTTGACACCCTTCAACACCCCAATTCCCACTCTGTTCCCCTTTGCCCCCACCCACGTTCCCTCTTTTGCCCCAAGTCCCCAGATATTCCTCCAAAATAAACTGGTGTGCAAACTGGTTTGTCTCTCTCTCCTGGTGGAGGTGGAAGCTGAGGGAGGTGGGCCTGACTGCCCCATCATGGGGGCAGGAAAGGGCTCCCAGCTCTGCTTCTGCCCTGCTTTGGCATTTGACTCAGCTCTAGGCACAAAAAGGTGAAGAGGAAGTGGAAACCCTGCAATGGTGAAGGCCAGGTTAGGGGCATCCTCGGAAGTGCTGTGGGACCAGAGCTATGCGGGGGCTGGAGGTCCAGAGGGCTGTGTTGGTGGGAGGCGGCTGCGGAAGGACCAGGCCCAGGGAGGAAGGGGTGGGCAAGAGGCCACTCCGGAGGAGATGTTAGATCTGGTGGAGGGTTTGTAACTCTTTAAACCTCCAACTGCCTCATGACCTAAAAATTAACGTTGGTTTGGTGTCTTCTGTCAGAATACAGGCCACAGAGAGGTTATATTACGTGCGCAGAACGTCGTGTAGGTAGGGGATATGCTGTGTGATGCCATTTCCATCAAGCGCACAGACAAAACTCATCTGAGCTGCTCCAAGTCAGGACAGTGGCTACCCCTGAGAGTTGAGAGGAGTGCCTGCTGATAACACAGGTGTGTAGTTTACAAAAGTCCATCTCATGATATGTGCAAGTTTCTGAATGTTTTGCCAAAAAGGTTTGAAAATAGATAGCCTAGCTAGGTGCAACAGCACGCATCTGTACTCCCAGCCACTCAGGAGACTGAGGCTGGAGGATTGCTTGAGGCTGGGAGTTCAAGGCCAGCCTGGACAACATAGCTAGACCCTGTTTCTAAAAATAAAGAGGCCAAACATTGTGTGTGCATTTGACTAAGAAACGTGTATTTTTTAAGGGGGGGGAAGGCTGTAACTTCACCTGTCTATACACACTGACATGCATTCTCTCTTTATGAGGCGCTATCCCTACTTGACAGGTGACTAAAGTGAGGCTCAGAGAGATTGACTTAGCCAAGTGGCAAAGGAGCTGGGATTGGGCCCCCCAGCCACCAAGCTCCACTGCTTTCCAGAAAAAGGTTTCTAACCCCAGCAATGGGCTGCAAGACTCGGAAGGGCAGACACTTGGCTGCACTCATCCGGGAGTCCTGGTGCTCAGCACTGGGCCTGGCTGAGAGCACGTGTCTAGTGTTTACTGAATGTATGGGAAAGGATAAGTTGCATCCAGCATTGCTGTACAATTGCAATTTTTTCAAAAGTAAAATATTAAAATGAAGATCCAAATACTGCAGCCCCATCTGTGCCCTCTGCCCCTCAACCTGGACCCCCACGGGGGAATCCTGGGTGCCAGGGTCCTTGAGAAGAACTAGGGACCAGCAGGAGACCAGGTCCCTCAGTGCCAGGTGACTCTGGGATGCAGGTCTTGGCTCCTGGGTCTTTCTGGTTTAAAGTTTTTTTTTCTTAGGTGAAAAAACTTGGCATCACCAAGGTTTGACGTTCTAGGTTTTGTACAGTATGTTTATGGTTGGGAGGAGTCACAGTCCTCATGCTTTGATCTCTAGCTAAGCAGAGGGTGGGGAAGGATGTGGGCCCTTTGGGGCAAGGCCAAATGGAGTGGGCAGGGCTCTGCAATCCTGTTTGAATCCCACACCCAATTAACTCTCTAACCTGTTTATACCTGTCCACACCTGGGCCTGACCCCATAAACAATGTGACACAGATTTAGCCCAGTCCCAGTTTATTGTGGAGGAAAATGGGATGTGGAGCAGAGCAGGACAGACCCTCCCCTCTCCTCTCACCAGACCCCTATGGAAGTGGGTGTCAGGACACAGTGAGGTGAAATGGGGCTGAGGAGGCCAGAGACTGTCATAAGAAAGGACACAAGGCAGGAGAGCAGGCCAGGGGAGGGGATGGCAGAGACAGTGAGGCAGGGACACCAGGCTGCCAACTCAGGAAATATGCACAGAAGTCTACCCCTCAGCCTTCTTGCTTCAAGTTCAGTCTGGTATCAGATCTTAAGAGGTAGATCTAAATAGAAGTGGCAAGTGACCAGATTGAGAGGAGACAGGGGGTGATGAACACTCAGATAATGGAAAAGAGATGAGGAAATCACTGTGCCTTTCCCAGGTCAGCCTGGGCAGAATCCACGCTTGAGATTCTTTTCTAGAAGGAGGAACAGCACCAGGGTTCAGGGGAGGAAATTAAACCAAAGCCATATAGATGCTGGAGCACAAAGGAGGGAGGCCTAAGAAATCACAGTAACCAAAGAGTGTGGGTGTTCTCAGAGCAGGCCGTGAGGATGCTGGGGTGTTAGGGAGAGGCGCTAGAACGGAGTGCAACCTGGGAAGAGTAAGGTGTCAGGGTCCAGCCTGGGGAAGAACCAAAAGTCCTGAACTGTTGAGGAACAAGTACATGTGGCGCAGGGCAGCAATGGACAAGCCCAGGTTCAGGGGCAGCGTGGCCAGGGGGTCCAGGTCTTCAGGCTCCGTCCCAGCATGGAAGCTGCGTAGGGGCAGTGAGAGGTTGAGGGCCTGGTAGAACCGCTGGATCTGGGAGTCAGACAGAGGCAAGGTCAGGGACTTGTCAGAGGGCCCAGGCAGGAAGCTCTGCAGCTGGGGGCTGGACCAGGAGTTGCAGTAATCGTACTGGCAGCACTGGGCCTGATACCAGTACTCTGAGAAGTAGGTGTTACGTTTTTCTTGGCAGCGGTAGGAATTGTGCTGTCCACAGCCTCGGATGGTGAAGCGAACCTTGATATCTGAAGGACAGGGGACAAGTAATAAGCCCTGATTCTAATAGCCTCCCGCAGCCCCCAAACCTGGCATCCCTACCACTGACTCTCCTCATCCCTCACCCAGACCTGATTTCTACCCCAGACTCCTTCAGAAGAGGCTAGAAAAATTAGCTCAGCTGGTTCCTCAGAACCCCAACCCCTCCTTCCAAGATCCTTCTCTCTTCTTGTACTGCAGGCCCCAAGGAGCCCTCATCTGTGAAAGATCAAGCCATAGGCTGCCCCACCAGCAGCCCTTCCTGGGACTTTACTCACCGTAATAGATGGAGATCACCATGCACGGGGAGGAGTTGCTGATGGTGCACTTCTCCGAGCCTGAAATGCATCCCACAGAAGGGTCTTCTAAGAGGCAGAAGTGGCAGGTCCGGACCTCAGGAGCAGGAGCTGGGGAGGCAAAGGAATGGGAACACTGGCTCACTCCTAAGTCCCCTGCCCTGTAGGAACCCCCGAGGGCCTAGCTCCACCCCCTTCCTGGACTCGAGACACCTCTTCCACCCTGCCCCTGGGCCCCACTTACTTACCCTTTCCCACTGTGAAGCCCACCATGACCAGCACACCTACAAGCACACGGGCTTCTGTTATGGAATTCTGGGGAGAAGAGCAGTTCCTGAGGGATGCCCTGAAACCCCGCATTCCCATGACCATGATCCTTAATCCGCAGCTGCAGGGTGGTTTTGACAGGCAGCCTGAGCAGGAGCTGCTGTAAGTGCAGAGTTATATTCCTGCCTGGGGCAGGAAGTTATTAACTTGGCAGGAGGGACAGCGTGTACTCACCCACAAGGTCTGGTTCCTGAGTGTGGGAGCCATGGCCCAGACAGGGGGAATACCAGGGCACCACCTGGGTTTTGCCCAGTTGTCTACCTTTGTCCTGCAGGCCCCTTAAGGACCTATTTCCTCCCCGAGTCCATAGATTAGTGTCTGTCTCTGCCACCATCTGCTGTCTCCAACAGGACCAGTCCCCATTGTGCTGGGATAAGCTCAGGGAACCAAGTGTCCACATCCTTCTGAGGTGAGCGCGTCTCAGCTCCTCCAGCAGGGGGCACACAGACACCACTGGGCCTGTGTCCTTCCTCTCTCCACCCCTTACAGTTGTTTACTTTAGGACTATTTTCCCCTTAAAACCAAAACTGGAAGATAGTATTACTAATTGAGACCCTTAAAATATTAATATAAACAGACAGTCATAGGTACTTAAAGAGAACAAATATTTGTCTAGTCTGTGAATCCTGATTTTTCTCTTTTCCTTCTGACCTTGCACCCAGTTGTAGGACTTTTGCCTGCTTTATACTAAAAACATCACCCAAATCCACCAGACACAAATTCTTCCTGTTTTTCAACGCGGGGAGGGTGGGCTGGGCCATGAGGGCTCCTGGGGTCCAGCACACCACCACCTTCCCTTCCGCAACCACAAGCAGCAGCAGACTAGCTCACGGCCTTTTCTTCCACTTTATTTCATATTCCCACAATAATGACACCTTTAATTTAAACTAAAAACGATAAAGGGTTCCTGAAAGGGTGACAGCAAAGGAAAGAAGGTATCAAAGACTGAGGGACAGGTAGAGTGGGGAATCAGCGAATCGTCTTGACTGGACTCTTGAAGTTGCTGGCGGCTTGGAGCTGCAGCTGGTAGGCCATTGGATGGATCTTGAAACCGTAGAGCCTGGGCAGGGACAGAGGTCAGAGAGGCAGCAGCGTGAGCCCCACCCAGGCCCCCCAGTGGCCTGCATTCCCACCATCCCACCCAGCTCCTCCATGGGCCTGCTCAAAGCTTAAGGGCAGTGGTTTTCAACCTCTTCGCTCAAGAATATTTGGAAACTTATCTTAAACATCCATTAAAACCCAAATACCAGGAGATATGCATCAGTATGTTTCAATATAAAACCGAACCTTTCTACTCCACAACCAGGATAAAAATGATGCTCTAGGGAGATGAACGATGATGCTTAACCTGTGGCTCTGAGGGTCCCAGGATGGTGACAATAAGGACTATTACTTAAATGGTGCTTCAAGCGCCAAACATTATTCTAAAGAATCCACACATCTGAAGACACTGTATCAGGCAAGTACTGTCATCATCCTTATTTTATGAGAAAACCGAAGCACAGACAATCAAATAACTTTCCCAGAGTCACTCAGAAGGAAGCCGCCCTAGCTTTGAGAAAAGCAGGCCTCAAGAAAGGGTCATGCTCTGTCCTCCCTTCTCTCTGGGGGATCTTGGGCCTTTCCTTTGACCCTTAATTAACTCTGTCCCCGCTCCCCACCTGGGCACAAACTGGTTGGCGGGTCGCTTGGGTCGGTACTCGGGATGCACCATGAAGAGCATGTGAGGGAAACCAGTGCCGAAGTAGGCGCCATCCGTGTGGTGGTGCCTCGATGACTTGGGTGTGTACACATCCATGCACTTGGGGCAGTAGAGCTTCACCATGGCTTCGCCAGGGATGTCCGAAAGGCCTGGGAGACAGCCAGACTCAGCAGGCCCAGCCCCCCTCAACCCCACCCAACCTCCCCCCAGGACTCAGGTCCCAACTTGCTGAGCCTCAGCGACTTTCCAGAAGACTGCCACACAGTGACGTCCTCTCCCTTCTTCAACACTCACCGATGGGCAGCATTGGCTGGTTCTCACAGTACACACGCGGACAGTAGCCAAAGTCTCCTTGCTGGTACTTTTCCAACTGAGGTGAATAAAAAGGAAGCAGTTGGCAGATAGGTGTGAAGAGAAGAGACAGCTCCCTCCGCAGCCCAACCCACGTCACTCTGTACCCTACTTCTGCCACCTCCGTCCAGGGGCCCCTTCTTTTGCCCAAATGGGCCCTCACACTCCTCTGCTGCCTTTCCTCCAGTTAGGCAGGCTACAGACCATTACAGCCATTTGCTATTTGTTCCTTGAGGAAGAGGCATTCTACAACAACTCCCTGTCCAAGGTCACATCTCTCTCCCTGAAAATACCCACTTCAGGATGATCCCCAGTCGGGATTCAATTCCCAGGCCCAGAGTCTGGGGTTCCTCCCCTCTTCTCAGCTCCTTGACAGCGTTGAAGCATGACCTCTTGCTGCAGGAGCCTGTTTCCCTCACTGCCTTAGGAGACGAGTGAGGGCAAAGAGGCCTCACCATCTGGGCGATGCCACGGTTGGTGAGGATGTAGCGGGCGTGGATCAATCCATAAAGCATCTCGGCTGCCTGCTCAATCAGGTCACTCTGGTTGGGGTTGTCTTCAAGCTCTTCATCTGAAACACGGCCCAGCCAAATACAACCACTTGTTTGTCAGCTTTCCTATGTGCCCTGCCCACGCCTGGGGGCTGCAGCTACTATTTGCTCAGCACCCATCTTTGAGCCTCACCCCATCTATCATCTGGGTATGTGACCCAGAAACCTGGGCCTCTGACCCTTCCATCAACCCAAGGCAGCTCTGCCTTTTCTTGACACCTCTTCAGCCTCTGCTCTCTTCTCTCCCTCCCAACACGTAAATGCAAGGATGTCAATGCAGAAGGTAGAGCTCTAGACTGGAAGGTGCAAGGTAGGAAAAAGAGACAGTAAATGAGACCCAAGATGAAACTGGCATTGTGGAACACAGCTGAATTACAGATTCAGAAAGTATGGAACAAGTGATGTAAGTCACAAAACTAGACAAGAGTCAGATGGAGGATCAAAAGAAACCATGGATTTTGGGTTAAGGTAGTCACAGAAGCAGAGGAAACTTAAAAATTCAAGAAGCAAGTGAATAGAGATTTGAAGAGGAAAAAAAAGTACACACACACACACACACACACACACCCCCAACCCTCAGCATGTCTCACCAGGCTCCAGGTCCAAGATCATGTCTAGAGCTTGTCGATAGTGAGGCACCTGCTCATTGAGTCCAGTGAGATTAAATTTGTCCTGGATGTAGTCTTCATCCACCTGTCACGACATGGAAGTCAAGAGGAAACCCATATTGAAACTCCCAGCTTTGAACTCTCTTTAGTCTCTCTAGCTTTAGTCTCTCTCCTCGGTTCACCTATACTCCCTCCCATAAGAGCTTTGGCTTTTCTACAGATAAGCATATACAACAATCTTCTTCTTGAGAGAAATACTCTTTTCAAGATCCCTGTTCCTACTCCTGCCCCCCATCTCTAGGAACCAGTTCTGTCCTCTCTGTAGGGACACCTGGCTCTCTGAGGAAGGCAGAAGCTCAACAGCTTGGTTTCTGAAAGCAGTTAGAATCCCTCAAGTTAACACACAGCTTTGGCCAGCACAGTGGCTCAAGCCTGTAATCCTAGCACTCTGGGAGGCCGAGGCAGGAGGATCACTTGAGGTCAGGAAATCGAAAACAGCCTGAGCAAGAGCTAGACCCCATCTCTACTAAAAATAGAAAAATTAACCAGGCATGGTGGTGCGTGCCTCCAGCTACTCGGGAGGCTAAGGCAGGAGGATCACTTGAGCTTAGGAGCTGGAGGTTGCCGTAAGCTGGGCAACAGAGCAAGACTCTGTCTCAAACAAACAAACAAAAACACAGCTTTGCACATCACAAAACATCTTAATATGTGGTATTTCAATTCTCCTGACAGACACCTGAGATAGGTGCCAGTATCACTCTAGTAATAAAAACAAGACACAAATTAACGAGTCCAGTGTTCTATTGCTGGAGGGTGGGAAGGTTGGGATTTGGGCCCCAGTATTGCTCCTTCACCACAGGTTAGTGGGGGGTTACTGAGGGAACCCTTCCTTGACAGGAAGGAGTTTCCATGAGGCATATAAGAGAAATGTGTAGAAGATAAATACGGAAGGGAACATCTGGTCGGAGAATATGTGGAGCTGGCAAGTAGGGAGGTTGAAGAGAACTCACTTCACAGAAGAATTCATTGCCACGGAGCCCACAGAACCAGGAAATCCAGGACACCTCCTCTGAGCTGCTCATCTTCACGTCAGCTGGGAAAAAAAACAGTGTTAAGTAAAGCCCAAGCTCTCTCTCCCCGCCTCTGATATCCTCCCTCCTCCCACAGTGCCCTCCAACCATGGAAGAATTTGGGGCCACCCTTTCTTAAAGGACCCCACACTCTAAAGCACCCCTCTCCAGCTCCTCTTATTCACACCTCAGCCCCTCTTCTCTGAAGTTAGAAATTCTTTGGGGTCTCACCACTTGTGCCAAGCCCAAGTCCCAACCCCGCCATCTGGCAGTCCTCCCCACATCCCTGGCACTTCTGAAGGCCAGGCCCCTCTCCCGTGTCATCTCCGGCAGGGACCTCGGCTCAGGCTCCCTGCAACTGCAGGCTCTGCACGTCCCCGGAACCTTTCCCAAGGGTTTCGAAGTTTACCGTTCCCAAGCAAGAGCTGGGCCCCTCCTTTTCTCACGGCCTGGGGGTAGCCGTCAGGTACCTTTCACAGGAGTCTCCACACCCCGCCTCCGCCCCTCAGGCCACCCCTCCTTCTCCGGTGCCCGACCAGGTCGCTTCCTCCCCCGCCCCCACATCAAAGCGCGAAGACCCCATGTGCCGCGCCCAGCGACAAGGGACTCGGCGCGGCGACGACCTCAGACTCACTGGCTGGACGGGGACCGGGACTGGGGTGGGGGAGGGGAGTTGCTACTTCAAGGAACAGCTGCGACCGCTAGAGCGCAGGCCGCGGACCCGACCGCGGCAGGCGAAGTGGGGTGGGGGGAGTGGAAATTGGAGAGGGCGAGGAAGAGCGCAACACGCAAGCGCCAAGGGTCGGGCGCCGCGGTGAACGCTGGGATATGGAGTCTCCGGTAGGGAGAGAAACTGGTGAAATGACGGAAAAGCGAACAACGAATCCCAGGATGACCCGCGCATGACCCTGGTGTCGCGAGGCCTCGGAGGAAGGTGCCAGGGGCGGGGCACAGTGAGGCGCCACCGGAAGCGGAAGCCAGGTTCAGCGCGCGGGGCCAGGGAGCCGGGGAAATACAGTGGAGTCCTCTCTGGACCAAGGGGCCGTGAGGGGGGCGGGGAAAGGAGCGATCCGGGAGGGAGCTCTCCTTGCAGCTTCCCTCACAGCGTTCCCCTCTAGTCCCGGCGCAGCGTTGCTCCCCAGGGTTTGACCCCTTCCCGGCCAGTCCGCTCGGTCCTTATCGTCTGTTGAACCCCTGGTCCGAGTCAGGCCCGCCACCGGAGAACACGACGGAGCCCATGTTTCACCCCGGCCCCAGCCCCGGCCTCCTGAGGCGGGAGGTGCGGCTGGGCTCCGTGCTGAGACCTGGATTGGATGTTCTGGGCTGAGCTAAGCGGTGTGAGAATCGGAACGGCCCAGTGTGCTAACCTGAGGTGGCGCCAGCCATTCTGCTGCTCGTCCCCTTGCACTTCTCCATTTCCTTTTAGGCTCTAAGTGTAACCTTCGAACCCTGGTCAGGGTAATGGTGAGGAGCAGCGTGACGTTATTTCATTTCACAGCTTCTCGGCATTCCACAGGTTTCCTTCCGCCTCCTCAGGACCTTTCTTAACCCAGAGAGTGGTTTCCCAGCTCCAGAAAATGAGTTTGGAGCGGGGGCCACGTTGAGGAAGGCGAAGGGCATTGTGGGGGCGTTATGTAAAAGTAGGACCCCAACTGACAGACCCTGGTGCTCGCGCTGCCTGGGCACGCGGTGCTTGCGCCTATGCTATTGGAAAGGTTCCAGGGCGGGAAACCAAACTGGGCGCTGTGCGTACGCCTGCGCGCTCAAGTAATGTGGGTGGTGGTTTTTTTGTTGTTGTTGCCACGCATGCGTCTTCGTGCCGTCAGGCTGTTTGAGTTTGTCAACTCTCTTGATTGGAATAGCGTCATTTTACCGTGCGGAAGCTACAAAGCAGTGCAAACGGGAGCCTGTCTCTGAAGTCTTCCGGAGTGTCACGTCTGTTTTTGTTTAGGAAGAGGAAACTCCGAAATGGGAGCAAGGAAGATTTAAAGGGCCAGGCTGATTCTTCTTAATCGTATGTCTTAGGGGGTGGGAAAGTGTTTTCAGAGAGAGGCTGGTATTATTTATTGTTGGGGGGGGTGGGGGGGGGGGTGGAACGCGGGACCTGTGAACAACTGTCTCATGGAGTTTTCTTTTTTTTTTTTTGAGACAGAGTCTCACTGTGTTGCCCGGGCTAGAGTGCCGTGGCGTCATCCTAGCTCACAGCAACCTCAAACTCCTGGGCTCAAGCAATCCTTCTGCCTCAGCCTCCCGAGTAGCTGGGACTACAGGCATGTGCCACCATGCCTGGCTAATATTTTCTATATATTTTTAGTTCTCCGATTAATTTCTCTCTATTTTTAGTAGAGACGGGGTCTCGCTCTTGCTCAGGCTGGTCTCGAACTCCTGAGCTCAAACAATCCGCCCGCCTCAGCCTCTCGGAGTGCTAGGATTACAGGCGTGAGCCACCGCGCCCGGCCTGGAGTTTTCTTTAATAACTTTTACTAAGGGGCAAGGTTGGTTATTGTAGGGTTCGGTGTTTTTACACATGACCTCTGGCCCTTGGGCTGTGCAGGGTCCTAGGTTGTGGGGTCACTTTGGGGGTGGGTGGGTGTTTTTGACACTAAGACTACTTTTCCTCATCCCAACAGGTTTCTAGAGGCGGCTTTGGTCACTGCAGGGGTCACGAGGGGCTTGGCTTGCTTGTCTCATCTTCCTCTTGCCTAGTCTCATTTTCTCAGTTCTCCCAAAAGCCATGTCGAGACCATCCCTCATCAGCTTCACCCCAGCCACCGACCCCAGTGACCTCTGGAAGGATGGGCAACAGCAGCCACAGCCTGAGGAGCCAGAGCCCACCCTGGATGGAGCTGCAGCCCGAGCTTTCTATGAGGCCCTGATTGGGGATGAGAGCAGTGCCCCTGAGCCCCGGAGATCTCAGCCTGAGCCTGAACCTGCTAGGGAAAGAAAGAGGAAGAAAAGAAGAATGATTAGGGAGGCTGCGGCAGAAACAGTGGCAGCAGGAACATCAAGAAGACATGGACACAGAAGATCCCTTGAGGCCGAGGATAGGATGACCCAGTGCATACTGAGGGCGGCCCAGGAGGGGGACCTGGCAGAACTTCGAAGACTGTTGGAGCCCCATGAGGCAGGGGGAGCTGGGGGGAATATCAACGCTCGGGATGCCTTCTGGTGGACCCCCCTGATGTGTGCTGCCCGAGCAGGCCAGGGAGCAGCTGTGAGCTATCTCCTGGGCCGTGGGGCTGCCTGGGTAGGCGTCTGTGAGATTGGTGGCAGGGATGCTGCTCAGCTGGCTGAAGAAGCTGGCTTCCCTGAGGTGGCCCAAATGGTCAGGGAAAGCCATGGAGAGACAAGGAGCCCAGAGAACCGGTGAGGAGAAACCTTAGCTCATACCCATCTTTCAGTATAGTCTGCCCTTCCTAGCCACTCCATGCCAGAGGTCCTAGAACAGAGCTGAAGGGTTCTCTCTTCATCCTCCAGTGTAGGCTGATAAGGTAGTTTGGTTGAGTGGTTATGAACAGGAGCTCCTTGGGTTTAAATCCTGATTGTACTTGGGCAAAATTTGTCTACATGTCCCAGTTTCCTCAGCTTAGAAACGGGGGTAATAGGCTGGGCATTGCGGCACGTGCCTGTAATCCTAACACTCTGGGAGGCCGAGGCGGGAGGATCACTTGAGCCCAGGAGTTTGATGTTGCTGTGAGCTAGGCTGACGCCACGGCACTCTACTCAGGGCAACAGAGTAAGACTCTGTCTCTAAATAAATAAATAAAAATTAAAATAAAAAAAAAGGAATGATAATAAGAACAACTTTCTCATAGGGCTGTTAGGATTCATTAGGTTAGTGTATGTTTATGCTAGAACAGTGCTTGCCATATAGTATGCACTATAAATGTTAGCTATAGTCATTATTACTATTATTCCTCCTTTGCCCGAGAGCTTGTGAAGCCTGGTTACCACCTCTTCTCTCAACTATTGCCCTCACTGTTAAGTGGGGAGGAAGGTAATTTTTTCCCTAGCAGAAAAGCTAGAAGGCTCCTGTCCTACCCTGCCAGCACCCTCTGAGGCCTTATCTCTTCCCTTTTCCCTTCCCCTGCCCTTAACCCTTTTTCTTCTTTCTCTGCAGGTCTCCCTCTCCTTCCCGCCAGTACTGCGAGACCTGTGACACCCACTTTCAAGATTCCAGCCACCGCACATCTACTGCTCACCTGTTGTCATTGTCCCAGGGTCCCCAGCCCTCCCACCTTCCCCTTGGGGTGTCCACCTCCAGCCCAGGCTTTAAGCTGCTGCTGAGGGGAGGCTGGGAGCCAGGAATGGGGCTAGGACCCCGGGGCGAGGGCCGTGCCAACCCCATCCCCACCGTCCTCAAGAGGGACCAAGAAGGATTAGGCTACAGATCAGCACCCCAGCCCCGAGTCACACACTTCCCAGCTTGGGACACCCGGGCCGTGGCTGGGAGGGAGAGAGCCCCCCGGGTGGCAACACTGAGCCGAAGGGAAGAGAGAAGGCGAGAGGAGAAGGACAGGGCCTGGGAGCGGGATCTGAGGATGTACATGAACCTTGAGTTTTGACCTTGGTGAAATCTGACCCTGGTTTGCTGCTGAAGTCTGAACTTGGGTCTCTATGACTTCTACTTCCGGGATCTGCCCAAGTGCAGACCCTCAAGTTTTGGTCAGTAGGCTCTTTTTGGGCGAGGACTGAGAGTTGAAAAATAAATCACCCTTCTCTCTCTTTTGTGGTTTATTCGCTTTTCTGGAAGCTGTTTTGAAGAAACCAAACAGAAGTCTGGGTGCCACATGCAGGTACCACCTGAGCCAGAAGAGGCAGCCTTTCCAGGTGGCATAATAGGGTCTCCTCCCTGCCAGTATGGGTTCGCTTTCAGGTCTCACTGCCTGCTGGGAGTGTCCCACTTGTTCTTTCAACTCTCCCCCTGCCACAACCAGGAATTGCCCAGCCCCATGCAAGTCTCACCTCCCCCAGGAAGAGTCCCCTCAACACTCCAGCAATTCAGTCACTGATTTCACAAACGTAGGTTTATGTACTATGCGCTAAGAATACCAATAAAAGACATTCCCAATCCTCAGGGAGCTCACAGCTAGAGAGAGACACAGCTATGTGACCAAATAGGAGAGGAAGTCAGGGAAGGTCCTCAGGGATGGTAAGAGTGGGTTAGGGTCTTGCTGAAAGAAGTCAGTGTGGTAGGAGGGCCCAAGATCATCCAGCCTATACGCTGTTAGTTGAGCCGGGACCAGAACTCTGGCCTCCCAAATCTAAACTTTAAGTCAAGGTTCTTCATTTCACCTATTTGTCTACGTTTTTCTTTCCCACACTTCCCCCCCGTCCCACTCCCCACTCCGGTGCTAAGCACATGGCGAGCTCACTGCTGTGAAATCCAGTAAGTCAAGTCCGGAAGGGCTGCTCTAGTCGCAAGACTCCCCTCATCATTTTCCTTTCTGGAAAAGCCTTTCATGAAATCACGAGTGCAAAATGGAGTGATGAGGGATGTGGAGAAGAATCCAAGCGCCAGGAGCTATGGAGGGCGGGCGAGTTTAGAGGGGCACTAGAGGCCCGGGGGGCCTCTGGGCGGCAAAAATGCAGAGCTGGGCTCGTGTGCAGGTCCTGGCCATTGCTCATCTCGGCTGGGGGGCCTGCGGTGCGGCGCGCGCCGACAGCGCGGGAGAACCGGGGCGGTCGATCCGCAGGGTCCGCCCAGCGAGCTGCGGCTCCGCCCCCGCCGGTCCCTCCCGTCCCGGTGCAGCTGCTTCCGGGCTCCGCGGCTCCTGGCGGCTCCGCGAGGCCGCGGCCCCACCGCTGGGCCCGGGAAGGGCCCCCGCGCACAGCGCCTGGACTCGTGGGTCCCCTGGTAGGCCCGCGCTTTGCCTCGGGATTGGGCTTTCCGAGTACATCTCAGCTCTGACCTTGTGGAGGCCGCACTCTATGCGTGATCTTGGGCCGGTCAGGCCACTTTGTAGGAATCAGCTCCTTAAATCAAGAGACGAACGCTGCTGGCTGGAATTTGCTGGACACCTCCCATACCACCTCCCAACAAAGAGAATTCCTATTTCTTCAACTCCTTTAGGGCAGCTGTTTAAGACTCCCCATATCCAGGAGCACCCAGGACCCGGGGCCACCTTTCTGCCTTCCTTCTTGGATGGAGCACCGCCTCCCCAGTTTCTGGGGCATCTGGCATCTCGAGGCGTGGCCTTGGTGAGTGAAACGTGGGGTGTTGCCTGCTGGGAAGGAAATCCGGAAACAGAGAGGACACTGTGGGGTGACCCAGGCCTTGTCAGATCTGACACTCTTGGAATGTTGTGTGTGGGGGGGGTGGGAATGGTGACTGAATTTGGGTGTGCCTCCTTTCTTTATCCCCAAGCTGAAAAGCAAACAAGCCACTTGCCACACTGGAGACTGCATAGCCATTTAGGGAAGTGAGGAGCCGCTTCTGAATTCAGAATAGGACGGCATCACCAAGCAGATACCTATTCCGAGCTGGAAAAGACTCTGGCTTCTGAGGAGACCCTGAGAGTCTAAGCAGTGCTGGGAAGCAGCCCCGGTATTTGGGGGCTCGTTACACACCCCAATCATGTTCCTGCGACAGCTTGGTGGCTGGCTACCTCGCCCCTGGGGCCGCCGGAAACCAATGAGGCCTGACCCACCTGCCCCAGAACCCAGACGGGTGGACAGCTCCCCTGAGAATTCAGGGAGTGACTGGGATAGTGCCCCAGAAACCATGGGAGATGTGAGGCCTCCCAAGACTAAGGACTCAGGGGTTCTGGGGAGCTCTGGGGCTGCTTCAGAACCACACAGGGAGCCCCAAGTTGAGCAACTGGGGAGCAAAAGAATGGATTCCCTCAAGTGGGACAAGGCTGTCTCTAGCACTGAAGAGTCTGGGAGACTGGAGGCCGGAGGATCCATTCCCAAACTCGGATGGGATCATGTGGATTCAGGTGGCACCAGGAGACCTGGGGTGTCCCCTGGTGGGGGACTGAGTGCCCCTGAGCCTGAAGTCCCAGTGGAGAAACCTGGCCGGCGTCAGAAGCTGCTGGGCTGGCTGCGGGGGGAACCAGGGGCTCCCCCACGGTACTTGGGGGGCCCAGAGGAGTGCCTGCAGATCTCCACCAACCTGACTCTGCATCTGCTGGAGCTGCTGGCCTCAGCCCTACTGGCGCTGTGCTCACGGCCGCTGTGGGCAGCCTTGGACGCACTCGGCCTGCGCGGACCGCTGGGCCTTTGGCTGCACGGGCTTCTGTCCTTTCTGGCTGCCCTACATGGGCTCCATGCCGTGCTGAGCCTGCTTACTGCCCACCCCCTGCACTTTGCCTGCCTCTTTGGCCTCCTACAGGCCCTGGTGCTGGCTGTCAGCCTCCGGGAGCCCAGTGGGGATGAGGAGGCCACTGACTGGGAGAATGAGGGGTTGGAAAGGGAGGGTGAGGAGCAGAGGGGAGACCCAGGAAAGGGGCTGTGACCGTGGGGTGGGGTGGGGGAAACGGGTGAAGACAGCGTGGCCTTTAGAGGGAGAGTGTGGGGTATGACCCAGATTGTAAGCATAGGGACCTCAGGGATGGGGAAGAAACTCCAGAATATGAGGGCACAGGGCCTCCCTTTATATACAGGAGAACAGAGCTATTCTGGGTGTCTGTGTTTATGGACATCCTTGGGGCATCGCCCTGGGATTCACCAGCTGTTATTACTTCTTGCTTTTACATTTCTCTCACCTCAAGTTTTTTTTTTCCACCTCCACTTTTTAAAAGCCAAAAATAGTAACACCAACAACAAAATAGTGTGGTGGTAGAGAATAAAGACCAAAGGGTCCTCTCTAATTTTCAAAACTCCCTAGGGGTGGAGGAGACCAGAGGCAGATAGACAGACTTCTGTGGTAAGAGGGTGGTTGGGAGACCTGACCCAAGGGATCCCTTGGATCTTGGGACCTGAGCCATCTAGGGAAGAGTGGGGCTGCTAGACAAGGGGATTAGCAGGTCTGGATGGGGGCCCACAGGTGACAGGGAGCCTGCAGGGAGTGTCTGGTGCTCATGGGAGCCACAGGGAGTGGGGATAGTGCAGGCAGAACTGGCAGGAGGGCCAGCTTAGAAGGGTTGGCAGCTCAGACAAGCAGTGTAGGGGAAGCACTGAAGCCTATAGTCCCCACTTGGGGGCTAGGGGTTTGCTCACTCAGCAATAAATAATTGTGTCACACCAAATCCTAAATATATTGTTATAAAGTGAGAGTGACTGCCACTCAGTGTCCTTCCTGACGCCATCCAGCTGGGGGTTTAGGTGGTAGAGGGTCCAAGTGGATCTTGAAATGGAGGGAAAGGGATTGATGTCTGGAGACAACCTCCAGAATGAGATGAGGATTGAAAAATCATCTTTATTATTCTTGAAGGGGAGTCAGGAGTCTCCAGCTTCTCCCCCCAACAACTCAGCTCCCACCGTACCATCTGGGGATGTAGATGAAGTTACAGATCAGATACTGGACAGCTCACAGGCCTCTATGATGGGAGGAGGGAGAAAAGAAGAGGACAGAAAGGAAGTCCAGGGAGAGAAGCAAGGTTGGTGGTAATGGGGTGGGGGAGAACGAGTTCCTTCATTCCCCTGTGTCAAAGAGGGAGTCTCTGAGGCCTTTTCCCCTCCATGTCTGCCCCGCTGCCCTGTTTATCCACTGTAAACTCAGAAATCTCTCTTTTAAGTAACCCAGAGCCCATCCTGGCTCCCTAAGGTGATACCACAGCTCTTAGCCACATCCCTCTAGTGTCATCACAGCCTGTGACAAATGGAGGTGTCAACATAGCCATTCTGGTGATGTCAGCCTTTGGCCATGCCTTCTAGTGACATCACATGAGCCTCTTTCATCCAACACCCCCAGAAGCCTTGGTGGGTCCTAGTCCTTTTCTATGAGATTTTAACGCCTCACCTTGATTCCTGGGAGTCAGTAGGAAAGCTTTGGAGTCTAAGCAGGAAGTCAGGGACTGGAATTCCTCCACACACTTCTCCGGAGGGTGTGGTGAGCGATCTGGAAGGGCAGCATGGGGCCAGGCTACTCAAAGCCCCTGGTGAGGAGCTCATGGAAGTACCTATCCCTTCCTGGGATGTCATAGGGCCCAGAGTGAGGAGCTCCCCTGTCCCCTCTTGTCTCCCTCCAACCCTTCCTGCCTCACATCCTCACTCACTGTAGAGGAGAAAGCGCTGGTAACCCTGGCCCATCTCTTTCAGCATGATTCCACCAGGGCATGAGCTGGCATAGAGCTCAGTCTTCATGTCAGGGCGGCCTATTAGGGCAGGCGGGGGAAGTGTGAGGACCGATATGCAACAAGCTCAGGGGACTTAGGGAGGGTGAGGGCTGGGGAGAACCAACCTTCAGTTCTGAGATTTGTGCTTCCTTCGATCAGGTGGTAGATCCATTTCCGGGGCACACAGTGCCCATTTTTCCTACAGAGGTGGTGGTGGCAAGGAGGAAAGATTGAATGTCACTCTGACCGCACTGTACCACCCTCTATTTATTCCACATTATTCCTTCTTGAAGCCCAGCTCCCTTTGTGTTTCAAGCTACCTAAGGACAATTAGGCCCAACTCTCTCCAGAGGGCAATTAATAGAGCTATTGAATTCAGTGGGCTAAGAACAGTGGATATACTAGCTGAGAGCCCAGCTCTTGGTGGGTGAGTGCTCACAATTTGGGCAGAGACTGCACTCACTGGTGCTTCTGCCTCCTCACCACTCACGTGCGGATGGTAGCACGAAGCTGGAGCTGCATCGGGGCTGAGCCAGCAGCCATGTTGAAGACAGTGTTGTCCACAGGGTCAAAAGTCGCCAACTCCTCCTTGGTGGGAGCTGCCCCTGCGATAAAGTACCACTGGCCCAGGTGGGGCTCTGGGAACTGGAGAGACAATGAAGGGAGCAAAAGAGGGTGGGTCCCATGACAGGATCCATCCAACCTCTTCATCAGTCACGACAGCAAGACTTCAGAGCATGAGTTTTGGCTACCTTCCTCTTTCCAACTGGGGGTTGGATCCATGACAAGGAGTCATGAAATGACTTTTCCTCTTTGCCCCTCTCCAATCAACCTGGGTAACCACCCCATCCCCTAATTCTGCCATGTTTCCACATTAATGGCCACTGTATTGATACTTTTCTTCTTGCTTTCATCATCACAACATTCACACCCTCTTCTTCCCTTCCTTTTCCAACACAGCTTCTGGTCATCCTAGGCCACCCACCCAAATCCCTCAGAGCCTCCACCATAGGCTTCCCCCATTCTCAGTCCATACCTCCTTCCCATCCACTCCTAGAGTTGTCAGTTGGATGTGCTCAGGGCACTGGTAGATGGAATTAAGGAGAATACCATAGAGGTAGAGCAGAGCTGCCCAAATTCGGTCGAACATCTTCAGGCAGGAGGGAGCTGGTGCTCTATGTGGGGTGACTGGTGCCTTGACTGCTGTCTCCCCTACCAGCTGCTCAGTCCACTCTGCTTCCAGCTCCCTTGCCTCGACCCTTGACCCTTTCACCTGCTAATGAATAACTTCAACCTTGTTTTCCGACCCAAACCTGGATTACTTAGTGTTTGGGATTTCCTCCCCCTCTTCTGGATGCAACCACTCCACAGTATACCCACCCTGGCATGTTCAGGGTCTCAGCAGTTACTAGAAGAGCTGAGCCCTCCAGGTAGAAGCCTGTGGTCTTTCAACCCATATCTGAGCTGGATTGTGCAGCATTGAAGAGAGGTAGCATGATTAGGTCTTTCATTCATTCACTTAGCAAACTGTTTTGAGTCTCAGATGTTTGTCAGGAACTGGCTAATCCCCGGGGACATAAAAAAAATGAGTAAGACACAGCTCCTGGCCTTGAAGAAGTCAGTATAGGGAAAACTAGCAGCGTAAACAAATCATTGAAATACAGCCTGATAAGCGCTTTGGAGCAGGTATGATCCAGGTGCTGAAGCATGGTGGATTGCCCTCTGAAGTTTATGTTAAAATTGGGAAAGCACTATGTACACACCCTGACAAAGTTCACTGACATAAGTGAGTTCATCTACTCAACATTTATTACTACAAGAGGCTACATAATCTAGTGGCTAGAAAGGATAGACCTTGTTGTCACGCAGAGTGAGTCCAAACCCTACTACTTATTACACTTGGGAGAACTTTATTAATGTTTTTTCATCTGTAAAATGGGTAAATAATCAATCTCATAAGATTAAATAAGAATGCACATAAAGCCCTTAGCAAAGACTGTGCATGCTAAGTCTAAAGTAAATATTAAAAATAAATTTTAAAAATATAATTAATGTTTGCAAAGCACTAATTAGTTTCTGGTGGGTGAAAGTTGTCAAATATTAAGTGGTAAGAATTGTGGAGGCAGTCATCCGATAGTGCTAAGTGGCTGGAGCAGTTAATGCACTGAGAGGTGGAGCTTCCTTGATAGATTATTTATAACCCATGAACTGCTGCACACAAAAAAATCTGTCCTGAGGGGTGAGGCTTGCAATTTAGCTAAAAAACCAAAACAAAATTTGGATGATGGGTATGTGAGAGTTCATTATACTATTCTATTTTGGTGTAATGTTTGAAAGTTTTTATAACAAAAAACTAAAATGCAACAACAATTTATTAGGGGCAGTAAAATAGAAATGCTCGATCCAAAGTCTAGTAGGCCTGGATTTGTCAGTTCTGCCACTTTCGCTCACCTAAGTGTATTCACCTATAAAATGAATGTCAATGCCTCTCTCAGATGTAGGTAGGCTTTTTAAAATAAAACCCTTAGTATATTGGCTGGCACAAACTAAGAGTTTACTAAACAACTGCTTATTAGAACTCTTAACCGAAACAGTACCAGGACCCCTGGTCTCAGAAAGGATGGGCACCCCGGCAGTGATGCGTCTTTCCAGCGGAGTCGCAGCGTCGCGGGGCCGAGACCCTTGACCAAGGGCATTGGGTCGGGGGAAGGGGGAAGCAGCGGGGCAGTTGGAAGAGGGCAGAAAAACGGTAATTCCCCCTCCCCTGGCCTGCGGAAGCACCGTGGCCAGCCCTTTAATTCCCTAGGGTCAGGGTCTTGTCTTTCGTTCCGCTGGGACTCCCATTTGCTCCCAAGTCCCAAACTGGAAGGCGCCCCTTTTCTTGACGAAAGTCCTGAAAGGTAGGGGCATGCCCCCCTCAGCCGCGCACCGCCGGTGACGAACACGACGCCCACAGCCCGCAAAACGCCCACCTGGCAGAAGCCGGGTTTGGCGCAACCATGCGACCAGAATCAAAACAGCTCCTGAGCCGCCCCCAACCGCCTATGGAAAGGCTGACTTCCGGAGGCGCTGAAGGAAGGGCGAAGCGAGGGCGACAGTGAAAGACAGAGTTTTAGGTGGCTAGGATAGTGCCGCCTGAAATTCTCGGTCTGCCAAGACTTTAACATAGTTTAACGAGGCATAATGCCAAATCCCCAAACTTCCAAGTTCATACAACCGTCCGTAGTCTTTTTTTAGGTAGTTGTAGAGTTCCACGCGGTAATTTTTTTTTCAGGCATTTATAGCGGCCGCCTCAACCTTCTATTGCTCAAGCGCGCGCACAAGAAAAGTGAACGCCGCCAGAGCGGGTGGGGCGTGCTTAAGTGTGCACGCATGCGTAGTGCGACGCACGCAGGCGCAGTACGGTCCCCTGGGCGACGGCGGCAGCGGCTCCTCGGGGTGCTCGGCTACCTCCCATCTAGGCCGGCCCCGGCCCGTCTCGCCCCCAGGAACTCACTGTTTGGGGCTGCGGATTTTCTCGTCGTGCCCCACAAACGTAAAGCTTGGGGACCTGGGGGCCGGAAGTACCGCCTCGAGATCCCCAAATACTATCGGGGAAACGGAAGTGGCCGTAGGTGGCAGGTTGGGGGAGACCGGAAGTGACGGTACCGTGGGGAATTCGGGGGCGGAGCCGCGGAGTGGTGCTGGTGGTGGTGGTGGTGTGTGTATGTGTTTGGTTGGTTATGTGTTGGTCGCGCCGCTTTACTGGAACACTGTAGGAAGGCGGAAGAGGGGGGCAGTAAGCTAGCCGGTCGGGCCCCCCCCCGTGAGTGTTTGCCGTGTCGGGCTTGTGATTTAGGCGGGTTTGATGGGCGTGGCGCGCGTGTGAGAAACCACACTTTCTACAGTCTGGCGGTACCCCCGCTCTCGTGTTGTCCCAGTAATTGCCGACCTCGACCCTTGTCCTATCGTGACCAGTGATGACACTGGTCTGGTCTCGTGCTTCCGTCCCTGCTTCCTAACCCAACTGGCCCTGCCTTATTGTGATTGGCGTCGTGGAGCCCCTCCCACCTCCCGTCTTCCAGGTCCCTATGCCGTCGATCTCCTGCCCTTTGTGTTTCTCTCCCTGTGCCCCGGAATCAGAAGGGGGATGGGGGCGGGTGTGAGTGTGTGTGCCTGTGCGGGAGAAACTTTTTAGGTATGGGGGCGGGGATTCATGCCAGGGAGGCTTCCGGGTATACAAAATCTGCTCTAGGCGACAGCGAGCCTCCCTCCCTTCGTTCTTCCTTAGAGAGCTGTCGGCCATGGAGCCCAGTGATAGTACCAGTACTGCTGTGGATGAGCCTGATAGCCTGGAGGTGCTGGTGAAGACCCTGGACTCTCAAACTCGGACCTTTATTGTGGGGGCCCAGGTGAGACACCAATACTTCTGGAAGACACCTCTTGTAGGCCCCTTAGCCTGAGGGATGAGCCTGATTTTCTGGTCCACAAGTTTTCTTTTCACTGATTCCTTTGTTCATATTCTAGAAAGAACATTTTCTGATGTTTTTTGTTGAATGAGAGGGTATGGTTTCTGTTGAGTGAGGCTGATTTTGTTCTACCTTCCTTCGCCTTGATAGAACTGAATGTCCAGGGAAATACAGAGGAAGGAGACATCTGTATGTCGTCATTATGGGTGGACCCCAGCCCAAAGGGGCAGACATAGCTCCTGCCTTTGAGAAGGGAAATGACATAGGGACCCCCCAAACAAGTGTGTCTTGTAAATAGAAATTGGTCAGGTCTTTACTGCGTTTTTAAAGGTTGGAATCAGAATCCATAATGAAGATAGAGCCTTAATAGACTGTTGAGTGGAATTACTAATATCTGTGACATAGTTTGAATCTCTGGAACTTAATGCCTTGACCACAGCTACCTATATCTTTACTCCTGTTATACTTGGAGACAAAATTGTGTGTGGGTTGGTCTATGGTTTTCTAAAACATAGTATTACATGTATTTAAGAAAGTCAAATAGGCTTTCGATTAGATGTATATAAACATTCTGGTACTTTCCAAAAGTCAGTTGTCCAGTTAGGAAAAATGTTTTTTTTTTTGCTACTTTCTTACCACCTTCTTGGTTAGTCTTTCTTCCTTTAACCTGATTCCCTACCCCATCATCTTTGCCATTGTTTTTATCTTGGAGATTACAGGGTTGTCTGTGGTAAATAAATTCCTAGTATCATTTTGTGTTTAAGAAGAGGTCACTGGTATCTTTAGGCACATATTTCCCTGAGAGCCAGGAAGAGGAGAGAAGGGACTGTCCAGTTGGCTTTTTTGTTTTTTGTCCATGTTATTTTTTCTGGACCTGTTAACCTATTACTTGTTAAGTGTGTTGTCTGTATTTTGACAGGTGTTGTCTCAGGGGTTTGCACGGTAACTGTCTCACAGTCAAGACAAATAAGTAGTGATTCTATGATGGTTTTTATCCCTCATGTCCACAAGTTAGTTGTCCCTCTTCTATTCTTCCTTTTTCTCCATTCTCTGATTCTTTTTTTTTTTTTTTTTGAGACAGAGTCTTGCTCTGTTGCCTGGGCTAGAGTGCCATGACATCAGCCTAGCTCACAGCAACCTCAGACTCCTGGGCGCAAGCGATCCTCCTGCCTCAGCCTCCCGAGTAGCTGGGACTACAGGCATGCACCAGCATGCCTGGCTAATTTTTTCTATGTATTTTTAGTTGTACAGCTAATTTCTTTATATCTTTAGTAGAGACGGGATCTTGCTCTTGCTCAGGCTGGTCTCGAACTCCTGCGCGCCTCAGCCTCCCAGAGTGCTAGGATTACAGGCGTGAGCCACCACGCCTGGCCTCCATTCTCTGTTTCTTACGTACATCTTTTCTTCCTTGCAGATGAATGTAAAAGAGTTTAAGGAGCACATTGCTGCCTCTGTCAGTATCCCATCTGAGAAACAACGGCTCATCTACCAGGGCCGAGTTCTGCAAGATGATAAGAAGCTCCAGGAATACAGTAAGGGGTTTGGGGAGGCAGTCCAGAGGTTGAGGCTGCTGTCCAGATGGATGAGCTGAGGCCATGGGTTTACCTGGTTATACAATGTTTTGGTGTGTGTCTTATTTTTCCTGCAGATGTTGGGGGAAAGGTTATCCACCTGGTGGAACGGGCTCCTCCTCAAACTCAGCTCCCTTCTGGGGCATCTTCTGGGACAGGGTCTGCCTCAGCCACCCATGGTGGGGGACCCTCACCTGGTACTCGGGGGCCTGGGGCCTCTGTTCATGACCGGAATG